CAGCGAAGCAGCTCGGTGGCAGCGAGGGAGAGAGACACGCGAAGGGGAAGGCGAGTCAGCAGCGAGGCTCGGGACAGGTGACGGCTTCGGCGAGGCTCGGACGGGATCCAGCGATGCGAGGCGCACGTCAGACGCGCATTGGACCGATGCTTCGGCCAAATCAGGAGGCAATACGCGTCGGATCCGGGTAGAGCGGCTAGTGTTCATGCGACGTGGCAGCACTATTCATGCGAAATTTCTCGATTTTTGTGCCAAATCTTGTAAAATCCATAACTTTGGCATACGAGCTCCGTTTTTGACATTCTTTATATGCACGCGTAGCTAAAATTACGATACAACTTTCGTTTAGACTTCATCAGCTAATTTTGAATTTAATTTTAATATTATTATTTTTAACAGACCGGGATAGGAAAATCCGTTAAAAATTCATAACTTCTTCATCCGACATCCATTTTCATCAGACTTTTTACCGTTGTATTACTAATGATGAGATCTTCTATTCTCGTTTAAGTTGTATCAGCAAAAATTCACTCGATCTAAAATTCGAGTTTTTAGTTGTCTACTGCTAAGCTGAAACTTCGAAAAATCATAACTTCCTCATACGAAGTCAAATTTTGGCGTTCTTTTTATCGAAATTCTCGGTTTAACGAATACTATGACTTTCATTTAGATTACTAAGGCTAAAAAGTATTTTATCAAAAACTCACTTTTTACATCATTCGGTGTCGTTCCGGTTTTATCGTGGATCTTCGATTGGTCATAACTTCTTCGTTATAACTCAGATTTCAATGAGGTTTTCGCCTAAATGTTTCTAACGAGATTATCTAAAACTTTCAATAATAAAATTTTACTTATTTCAAATATTATATTTTCCCTATGTTTTACTATTTGGCTTTTAATTGGAATCTCATAAGACTTCCAATATTTTATGAGTGATTCTAAACATAGTTTTACTTCATTTTTAGTAAAACTATCTGTTAGTGTTAGAACTCAACATTCAAATTCACATAATATTTCATAATATTATTTACTTAAAACATGATTTCAAAACGTGTATGTTACATGATGTGACAACCCGAAATTCCTGTCCGTTCAAACCGTTAAAAAAAAAATCAATTTGGAATTTATTTCTGCCCTGGTCAGCATTATCTCGGGTCTAATTAAATATTCTAAACTCAGAAAAATTGAAGTTTGGGTCCAAGAACGAGTTTTCCAAGTCAAAGCATAGCATCCGGGCCAAACACCCCTTCGAGAGGAGTGGATGGCCGCAAACTCAAGTTTACCGGCGTACACCCCCCACCCCACCCCTTGTCCGTAAACTCACCCCTATATAAGGGATGAGTGGCCTTCATTTCATACTTTACACACTCCAAAGGCTCTCTCTACTCTCTCTCTCTCTCTCTCCCCCCCTCTCTCTCTCTCTATATATATATATATATGTGTGTATATATATATATATATATATATATATATATATATATATATATATAATTTTCGAGTTTGCTCAACGACCCTCAAAAATGTAAGTGATTCTTCACTTTGATTGTGTTTCTATATCATTTCTAGTGTTGAATCCATGTTTCATCCCATTTAATTTCATCATTTTCTAGATTTCTCTCTCACCAAGAACATACACTAGTTCTTGGTGGCTAAAAATCTCATTCCAAGCCTCTTACCGTAAGTAACTACCATCTATGCTTGATATCTACTAGAAACCATTGGTTTTCACCTAAAAATCGCCCCAAAACATGAACACGAAATGGGTTTACGGCCGTAAACCCATGTGTACGGTCGTACACCCTTCAATGACCGTAAACTCTATTTTTGTCGATTATTGGCCTTTAAACCCTACTTTGAGCTGTGCATATGGCTTAGAACATTTCTAAGAGGATGGAAAGGACCTTGAAACACCGAAAATCGCACCTTTTACCAAGTGGTTACGGCCGTAAACCCATGGACCACAAACACTTGGGCCACAAACCCATGACCGTACACTCCTAATTACAGCCGCAAACTCCCTATCTTCAATCGCGTGTGATTCTAACACTTAGTTTCAAGTGTTTCCTAGTCCCTAAGGTGGTTTCCTTCCATAACAAATCGTGTTATATCCTCATCTAATATGTATATGTGCTTTCATATGTTAAATAGGATCTGTTTGTGTTCGAGGCGTCGTTTGACACCTAACAACTCTTATTAATTTACACTCGAATCTCACGTAAAACAGTGAGTTCATACCCCTATGCTTTTAAATTTTTTTTTAAAACGTTTTCAGGGGGAAATACAAGCCACACTTAAAGGTTTTCACAAACTAAAAACTGATGCAATTACAACAACTTTACATCGAACTTTTAAATAACTTATCCCTTTTGTATTATGCGGAGCATAAGGGACGTTTTCTAACCATAATTGCATAGTTTTCAAAACAGTACATGAACGTAACTTATCATTCAAACTATAATAGGTATAGTTTGGGGAATTCAACAGGGGTTTTACAGATTCAAACTACGTATAAAGACAAACACATAAACTAGTTAATACAGGACTGTAAGACCTATCTTCGTTATGCCTTTCAGGGTACCAGTAAATCCTCACCTTTAGTATAACCAGAGTCTCCTGGAGAGAGAGCGTGAAATTTGTGAATAGATCTATTCGAGACCGACAATCCCACACTTGAACTGTTAGCTACAGTTAAGCGGGCACGCTTGGGGTGACAAATTTTGAAATCGTACAACGCCTGAAGAAACGTCAATAAGGTTCTCGGTCATTTTAGCATGGTTATACGACTCAATAAGTATAAACTAACCTTCATTTACGGGATATCTTTCTTTAATAGTTTTATTTAATTAATAAAACTACATATCTACTTACTGGAGGGTATTCCAGTGATCCAACTCTTGACTTTATTTGAGTAATAAAATTACTATTCATACTGGTGGTAGCCAGAATTTTCAAACAAAAATTACTCTACATACTGGTGGTAGCCAGGGTTTTCAAACAGAACATACTCTACATACTGAATTTGCCTCAATTAAGCCTATTTAACAGTAGAGTTCATATGAAATATATTAACATCACGACTTTTAATTGTGTTTGTGATAAAGAATGCATCAAAACTATTTATAAAGTAATGCTTAGTTCTCATTCTCAAACGATCTGAGATCCAGTGTAACCACCTACCTCCACTCATCTTTATATGGTTTGATGTCCTCATCGAACATATCGACCCGAACCCTAGATCTACTACTATTTGTAACATTTCCCAAAGTCCATTCCATAATATTGTCCATTTTGGACATCGTGGCATGAAAACATCTTTAAGGGTTACTGATCATGAACTTGCTCTCGCTGGGCCTCCTTAACTATAGATTTTTTGAGGACTGTTATCTTTATGAATTTAAAACTCATTGTGATAGAGAAGATTTATTCGTATATGGAGCCTTATAATGAATGCTTATTTGTCATTACTAAACGAAGTTGAATTAGTGCAAAATATGTTAAATCATGTGGTGGTAGCAACCCACAAGTATCCATATTTGAAAGTTGTTTTGATACCTCCTTTATCACAACTTAAATTTTTTTTTTTTTTCACAAGATGACATCACTTTCACAAACCTGCAAGCATTTTTTCATGAATTAAGTGATCATTTTGTGATATTTTTCTAAAACGTAGGTTATTAGGTGATATGCCGGAGACAAATATGATCATTTATAGCATCTCCATCCCACTCTCATTTTCCATTTTCTCCCTCATTCTTCTTCAACCCTCCCCCATTTATTCTCCTATTTTGGGGGATATTAATAGTATTACACCAAATATGGTGGTATACTATTCATTTCTCTCAAAATGAGGATAAACTTTGTGTTGTCGGTTTTAGTTCCTGTGTTTATATATTTATACATTTCTAGTTTGTTTTTACCACTAATTATAATTTAAATAAAATATTTAATAATTATAATATTTTGTTATATATTAAATATATTAATCAATTATAAATATAAAATTTGTTTTTTTCATCAAATTCATATAAAAAATTAAATACATATTGAAATTTTAAAAAATGATAACGTATTTTACAAAAACTTATAATTAAAATATATATTACAAATACGATAGAGGTTGAAGTGACAACAGACGAAAACAATCAATTCCCACAATTTCTTGCTCAATATAAACGTATTAAAGATGAAGAATCACACTTCAGTCTACGAAATGCGTTAATTGATCATTTTTGGGAAATTTATTCCAACACATAAATATATTATTTATGCATGTTTAATATTTATTTAAAAATGTGTATGTCTAATATTTATATAAATGTATATATAATATTTATTTAAAAGTGTGTATGTGTAATACTTTTATAAATTCGTGTATAATATTTATTTATAAGTGTATTATAAATATAATATTGTTTATTTAATATTAATGTAATGAAGAAAATATAGATTATATATTTGTTAAAACTAAATTAGTAGAGGGGTGTGTTTGCTAATATATGTAAGTTGGAATGATAGAATATACTTGGAATATACTTTTTGGGGTTAAAAATGGAGGAAAAAATGAATTAAAATTGGAAATAAAACATTATTTACCCTATTTTTTACTCTATTTTTAGGGGGGAAAATAAGGATAAGTTGAAAATGGTCTTAGTGAAAATCCAATATATGGCCATATTTGGATGTCACATTAAGCATCATGTTAATCAAATCATGGACAAAAATAAGAGATTTGTTAAGATAAAATTACACAAACATGTACAAATATATAATGCAAAGTAAAATGCAAAATTTAGATTTTTTTTCCAACTAATTAATATTTCTTAGATAATATAAGTAGTAGCAGTAATTTTCAGTTTTAGCAAAAAAAACCGAACCGAACTTGAAACCAAAATTTCCCACTGAAGGGGCTTCTTAACAAACACAAACAATTCTTAGAGAATTAAGAGGTATTATCACATAAGTTAGAAGATAAGATATTACGAGGAGGATGATGATTTTAGCTAGGGAAGCTTGAAGTGATCAAGCCTAGTTTCACCAAGCCTATGGGCATACGTGTGGGACTTGTACTCGGCCCAAGTGAATGGTTTGTAAAGTGGAGGTTTGTTTAGTTTGAGTAATTGTGGTGGGCAAGTGATTGTGGTTTGTGGCGGAGGTCCACCAAAAAACACCATCGACAACCTGCATTCTCTTGATGATGTGTTAGCCATCGCTCTATGCCGAACACTCTTAAACCTTCCATTTGTCATCACCTACATTCATCAACAACTGTAACTAATTAATATTTTAGCCATTTTAACCAAATTTCATGCAAGAAATATTGATTTTCTTTTATAAACAATTCTATGCATGCACCCTTTAAGTTGTACTTTTTGCTTTAGTAAAAAGTAACCTGTAGAAGATCACCAACAATGACACAAAAAGCTTCTGGATCCGAGTTGACAGGCACCCAAACGCCGTTTCCCAATGATATCTGCAAGCCAGGAACACCGTTGGATGTGAGGAGTGTCAGGATCTGAGGGTCAGAGTGCTCTCCGAATCCAATAGGGGTATTGCCATGGTGGAAAGAGGAAGATGATGACGTGTCAGTGACAATTGGATAGTGATTTAGTCTAAAGAGTGAGTCACTGTCGTGATCTGTAAGCAAAGTCGTAAAGAGTGAAGGTGGGACCCCAATCCCCTTCGCCATCACACCTAATATTTCACATGCCAATCCCCTCACCACTTCTACATACCGACTTACTGTAGAACTGTGAAAAAACATACGCTTAGATGTTGAAAACTAATAATAAGAGCAAACAAAAAACAACAAAAATGTCTAATATTAAAGTATTAAGAAAAATTACTTTACATAACAAAAAGATAATAATTAATGCATTTTCCAATTTCAATAATGATCATGGAAGGAGAATGATTTGAAGAGGTGAAGTACAATACCGTCTACAGTGAGCCATGTGGGAGAGAAAAAGAAAAGAAAAGAAAACACAGAAACGCCATTTACACACAGTCAGGAACCTCTGACACAAAGTTTAAAAGCAAAGAGATGGGTTTCCTGTTACTTGGGAGGCTTTGCTTTATTTAGAAAGAAAATAGAAACCAAATCTAGTATTCTCTTTTACCAAAACTAGATACTTCCTAAAACCTTCACCCTTCTATCAACATAAATAAATATAACAAACATGGTTCGACTGGTAAATTAAATAACTATTTTATTGTATTTTATCAAGTGAAATAATTAATCAACTTGTTGTGTACGATAATAATTAAGATATCAAGTTTAATTTAAAAAAATCAAGAACTATAAGGTTTTTTTTTAATTGTTGTGACGTAAAATGTCTCTAATTTATGGGCTAAATCAAACATCTCACGAGTCACAAAAACTATATCAAAAAATAATTTCCGGCTATATGCATGGGTTTCTTTTCTATATCGGAATGCAATCACATATTCACATGTCAAAGTCAACAAACACATATTTGCATATAGATTATTAAGAATGTTAATTGTTATCAAAATATTTAACACGCTTGTTGGTGAGAATATAATAAAGAAAACATGTTTGTTAAAGAAAATTTAATAAAGGAAAATAACGAAATATTTTTTAAGAAAAATGAAAATAAATTAAGTACATAACTAAAAATAAAATACTATATTTTTAAGAATTCATAAAAATATTTCATTATTATTATACGATGAAGAAACTACAACATTTCTGTTTTTAACATTATCTCAAAATGACTCCAAAATAGTTTTCATGTTTACCTCGCTAACAATTTTCATATGTTTGACAGCATTGTGGTTAATATAATCCTTTTGCTAATCAACAGTTTCTTTATCAAAACAAATTATATACTTTTAAACTTATTTTACTTCGAAATGATTAAGTAACAAATATCGGTGAATACTAAATGTTTTTTTTTTTTTTTTTTTTTTTGACTATTTGATTTGATTTGATTGTTGACTTGTCAAGTCAAATATTGAATCTTTTATTGTTGCTTGTGCATGTAGCTGTTTCCATCTATCACATTTACAACATTTACAACAGCCTATGCATCCTCTATCCTAAAATTTTAAAAGATGACTTTTAGGGTAAAAAAGTAATATATTTTTTGATATATATATATATATATATATATATATATATATATATATATATATATATATATATATATATATATATATATATATATATATTGATTTTTATATATTTAGTGATTGGATTTTTTTTATTTATATTTACCTTTCGATTTGTTAAACTATATACATTCAGTCATTATGACCGATTACTGCAGGTATGAAAGGTAAAATGACTTAAAAGAATAATATATTTCTCACTTCGTATATATCCACATACTAGTATTTGAGTCTACTACAACTTTCGTTAAGATTACTCAATTTAAAAAATTAATATAGTTTTAGTTACGATTTTATAAATGTATATGTGAAATTTTTTATTATTATAAAATCGTAAGTAAAAATATATTACAATTTAACGGGATACGAATGTGTGGATATATAGATCGTTAAAATCCGAATGTGTGGATATAGATCGTTAAAATCCGAGATCTATGAAGAAATTACGACATTCAGAACACAAGACCTAAGTTAAACCACAAGACTTAAAAAATCAAGCAGTTGAGGCCGCGATGGATGACATAAGAAAAGCCTATAGAAATCAGTCATAAATACTGAATGTGTAAAGAAATAACAAAGATTTATTTTGCAACACAAAAATATTAATGACTAAATCCGGAAAAAAAAATATTAAGGATTAAATGTGTACAAAGTGTGAAATATATTATATTTTTAAATTATTTTTTCTCAGTTTACCTAGAGTATCCGGTAATAAAGACTGAATGTGTAAAGTTTAACAAGTTAAAATGGTAGATATGGATGAAAAAAACTCAATGATCAAATGTGTATAAATTGAAAAATATATTACTTTTTTTAAATTGTTTTAAACGATATGATTAAAATTTTATGATACTTTAACGATGGTTCATATTTTTATTACAGTTTAAATTGTTTGCGTAATTTTTTTCCCTAATAGTTTAATATACACATTTATTCGTATTTTAAATAGAGGGATAGAAGATTGTTATACCACTTGACATTGACCCCCCGAAAAGGGGTGACAATTAAGTTTATGATTAATATGAATATGAGGTGGGAAGCATCTTAAATTTGGCAATCACTTGTATTTTTCTTTATATGCTTAGCTTTCGTGATATTGACATCAATCTTACAAGCCCTTTTATTCCATCTAAAAAATATATCATATTCATTCCAATTCTAGAAATCAATATATATATATATATATATATATATATATATATATATATATATATATATATATTATATATATATATATATATATATATATATATATATAGAACATTCATAAGAAAAAAGTTTTGATCTAACTTTAAAAAAATCAAATAAAAAGGTTTATTTTATCTCTATAATAGGAGAATTTTTTTCAATTTATTTACATACCACCTATTTTTATTTATCATTGTATTATTTGTATACGTTGTTTATTTATCCACTCTAATAAATGATGGATTTTTTTTTCCAAATGTCACATTTTCATTAAATTTGTCAAATGTTATTTTATGGTTATTGAATTAATTTTTTTACACATATCATTTTATGAGTTTTTCTATTTTAACAAATTCCACATAATACTTTAATGTTATAATTACAATAAATATAGTAATAAATGAATATTAATTCCATTAATGGACTTATTTTCTTATTTAAAATTCTTAAATTAAAGTTCATTAGTTTATTTATTTAAATTTAAAAATCATTTGTAATAATTCATTATTTTTCTTATTTTCTTATAAATCCAAACTTCTTAAATATTTAGATCTTTATATATAATTTTGTTAATTAACTTATGTAATACATGAGTTTTACACCTAATAATTGATTAAAAATCTATAAGACTCACCAAAACTCTTCTAATAGCTTTTTGAATTTTTAAGAACTTTTTTTTATTTGAAAACGTTTTCAAAAAACTATTAGTTTGGATTCTCTTTAGTTAAATAGCTTATTTATTGAAATAGTTGGTATCTAATCAATTTAAATTATATACAATTGATTTTGAATGTCAATATTTATTAATCATATACTTTGTTTCTATATAAGATTTTCTTTCTTGTTTTTGACAAATATTTTTAAATATGCAAATAATAATAATTATATTAGGAAATGATAAAATGAAATTTGTAACTGTATCCTCCATGCAAAGTGCGTAATTACTTCCTTCGTATGAAATTAATTTTGATAATTCTTGTTTTTAGATTTGATATAAAAGTTGTGTCAATAATTTACAACTTGTGTGAATATATGTACAATATTAAACTATCAATAATTTACAACATAGATAATGCTTGTTATCACTTTATTTAGAAAGTAGTGGTTTTAAAATTCAAAAAAAGAATGAATATTTTTTGTTCAAGTGGACATTTCCCCATAATAAAGCATATTAATAAATTTGATTAATAACTACCTTGCGCAATCAGTTTATATCTTTTTCATAAAAAAATAATAATTTTAATCAATATTCATAGACACGGTATAGTTTATTATCTAAGTTTTAACAATATAATGTAGCATAATCGTTATTAACGATTTATGCATGCATAAATTGGTATTTTTAAATAAAAAATAAAACATAACTATATAAAATGATAACAAATCCACGCATTACATATTTAAAAGAAATCATAAAAGCAAGTATATATATTACATAAATATATAAAAAATAACCCTAATAATTATTTACACACTATCGTACGATAAAGAAGAAAAAGTAAAAACAGTACATGCATTTTTTTTTAACTAAAATGTAGATGTCGCATTTATAGCAGCAAAATAACCCTAATTTAGATAAATATTTATACAAATAAAAGATTGCTGTTATAACTTATAAACTTGTAATATTCATCAAATGTTATAAAGGAAAAATAAATACGAAATTTCGTCAAACCAGAAATCATATTTTACTTTGTGGGTCCTGTTTATGACATACGATCATAGAATTCCCTTCATGCAGTAGGAAAATTGATGATATAAACGAATAGGAATTTGAAAGAATTAATACCTAAATTTTGATGGGGAATTGGAGATGAGCTTGGAAGTGTGATCAATAGCGTTTTGATTGGTTTGCAGAAGAAGATACTCAAGCTCCCCCGTGTCGCCACTAAGTCCGATGTTCTTGTTTCCGTATCCAAAAGGTTTGGTCAACCCGACCCGTTGTTTTTCGGATAAGGGTTTACGGAAGAAGTCAAAGCTTTCATCTTCCATCGTTTGTATAATGTGATGAGGGACACCATGGTTGATGACCTTAAAGAAACCATATCCTTCACAAGCTTCTACAATGAGCTTTGATACTTGTGATTCTTTTCCCGAAAGATCAATTGTTGGTATCTTTATCTCTCGGATCTTTTCGACCCGTATTGGGCTCATTTGAGTTGCCACCACCATTTTTTTGTAATCTCTGTCTAAGTAATATGCCTCGCCGAGAGAAACTGAATATATATTTGATTTGTCAAATTATTGAAAGATGAAGAGAGGAAATAGATATATTTAGGGTTTGATGGGTGACGAATGATGTGTGAATGTGTGTGTAATTGTGTATGTATATGAGAGAATCAGAGAAGGAATGGGAGGGGGCTGGGGAGGGGTGTCTATATAATAGATGTTGGCATGGGGAAGAGAGTGGCAGACCTATAGGACAGTGATGTAAATTTATCGGGCGTGTGTACGTATATATATTTGTATTTATTTGGATATAAATCTAAAAGATTGTGTATTTTTATGGTTAGTATTTAATATTTGATGATAACAAATGGACGATAATTTAATATAATAATAATGATATTAGATACGGTAAATTTCATAATCCAATCGACTTGATCACACAAAAGGTGTTAGAAGAAAGAAGAAAGTTAAAAATTATATTTATATAAAAATATTCAACATAAGTAATTGAAAATTTTTAAATACATAAAATTTAATATTTTAAAAACCGGTTTTTTAGTTGAATCGGTATGCTGATCGGTTTTCGGTTCGACCGATTTAATCGGTTTAACCGCCGGATGAACCGGTTACTATAATTTTCATATTTTTTTTCCGATTTTCCTACACAAACATACATACTAGATACCGACATAAATCAAGAATTTAACATCCATAACTTTAAATATTAAAAATACACATAAAACAACTTGTAAATCAAATCCAAATACATTAAAAAAAACACATGACCAAAAGTTTTATATCAATCCATGTGTTTATATTCAATTTAACCGGTTCAATCGGGTTTTTATAAAAACCGACCGGTTCATTCTGGTTCAAAAATAGACATAAAACCGGTGTTAATAACCGTTCACTTCCCCGGTTCTCGGTCCAATCAGTACGATCGGCCGGTTCAAACCGATTTTATAAATCATTATTAAAATTACATAAGGATTTTCTATTATACTTCCTAAGACACATATAAAAAATATTAATTGAAGAGTTAATTATAAGAAATATTATCATAATTAAATATAATAAATATTAATTATGTGTAATATTACCATAACTAAATGTAAAATATATTAATTATAAAGAGTATTATTTATAATTAATATTTATCATATTTAATTATGATAATATTCCTTATAATTAATATATCAATTAATGTTTCTTATATGTACTCTTACGGCATATATTAGAAAATCTCAATTAAATAAAAATGTACAAGTAGTTTGATACAACTAACTTAAAAGACAGATAATTTTCTGAAGTTAAAAAATAACTTATAAGCTACCTTTTAAAAAGTTATGTTGTCTCTGTATGGCAAAATAAGTTGCTTTATTGTAATTTAGTATTTCATAAAATTATAACTGTTTAGTAAAAATAAGTTACTATATTGTAATTTACTATTTGGTAAAATTATAAAAATAGTTTATCATACTTTATAAAGTAATTTATAAGCTATCTTCAAATAACTTAATAAGTTATATTACTAATAAATTATATTTTTATGAGTTTTTTATTAAATATGTTAAATATACATTTAATTGTGTAACATCCCAAAAATACTAAGTAAAAATTTATTTTTAAAACACCCAAATCATTCATTCGTTACTTTCAAAAGATAGTCGGAGTATCAAAATAACACTAGGGTGATAACAAAATCATAAGTGCAAAATCTCCAATAGATGTGATGCAATCATGTCAGACCTTTCTTTTTGACACTAGAAGTACCTGAAATATTTGAAACATAAACCGTAAGCACAATGCTTAGTGAGCTCTCCAAAATACTACATATCATACATATATTTTCCATGGGCTACCCCACGGTCTTTCCCTGAATGGCATGTGTTACCCTCATGGTCTTACATCTAAGTGTTATGGACTACCTCCTATGGATTTTCTTTGCAATGTCGATGGCTAAATCTCGTTCTTACATACAAGTGTCATGGGCTACCCCATGGTCTTTCATAGAATGTTATGAGCTACCCCTATGGTCTTCCTTGCAATTGTTATATGGTACCCCCATGGTCTTCCATGCAATTGTCATATGTTACCCCAATGGTATTTATTTCAAGTATCACAAATACAACTAGCATCTTACATAGTATAGTGAGAAGACTCACCTCACACTCGCAGTCAAGCAAACATGGCTCGAAGAGTCCAGAAACATGTGCTACAACCCACCTATCGAAACACCCAAGATCAAACCTTAGATCCACTCTAAAACGAGCAATTTGACCATCAGTCAACCAGGTTAAAGTCAACGGTCTGTTGATCTTCACGTCATAGCCTTTCCAAGGTCACGTCATGACCTATGGATTCAGTCACGATCAGAATTCAATCATTGTCCAACTCAGTTGCGTACAAATCCATCGCCAGGATGTGGTAAACATTCCAACACATCGTGGGAGAGTTCGTCCAAAACAGTCACGACTCCCTTCATTCCCCACGTCGTGTCAGTCAACTCGTTATGTCGTAGGTTCTATGCATTGACAACTTAATGGATTTTTTCCTTAATCCATTAAGCCATTAACCCATGCTCTCCAAAGTGCTTCTAGGGACCCTAATAGTATATAAAATCCAATCTTTGTAGGCATGCATGATTCATGAATGTCTTCCACTTTTCTAGGTCAAAAAGGTAAATAAGACTTGTAACGCTCAAAAATTTTAAATAAATTTTGCATTTTAAATCCACACAAAACACAGTTTAACATTTCTCAAAGCCAATTTATAAATTGTTTCAAACACAAGACATAAAATTGTTTGTCAATATCCTAATATCCTCAAAACACAAATCAACTAGCTGGTGTGTACAATCATGTTGGCACCTTCCCGTGATCCTGAGATGTACCTGAAACACATTTCACACAATACTGTAAGCAAAAAGCTTAGTGAGTTTCCTAACATACCACACACAAATAATTAGCTATATATCGATAAGGACCATCCGGTCATGTGTCTCAGTGAAGACCCTCCGGTCTCAAAGCTCGGGTTGGACCCTCCAGTCTTGTATCTTAGTGAAGACCCTTCGGTCTCACAACTCGGTTTGGTCGACCCTCTGGTCCAAACTCAATAAGGTACATAATAATATACAACATAAATCACAGAGACATAATGCATAATATCACATAACTGAGTATAAACACATAAGACCCTCCGGTCAATAACTCAGATAAGACCCTCCGGTCGCACAGTAATTACCATTCAGGTAAGTATAGTGAGAAGACTCACCTCGTAAGTAACGCAAGTATGTATCGTACTCAACTGTCAGTCTAGATTCCACATACATATATCATAATCATCTCTAATTAACAATTTATAATAACAACTCGAAAGATGTTAAGCTAACTCCTTTACTAATTCTCAGAAAGGGTGAAAGACCATTTTACCCCTCCATTGTCTCTAAAGTTCAAAACTTGACAAAACCCTAAAAGTCAATGGAAGCCAGCAGTCCATGTTGACTCAACTCGTCGAGTGCATCTAGGTGACTGGTCGAGTTCCTTCTGTTCTTAGAAAATCGGGAAAACTCGAGTCAACTCGCCGAGCTGTCTCACCAACTCGTCGAGTTTGTACGGTGTCCAAAATATCATGGAAAACCTTAGCCAACTCATCGAGTTGGCTAACCAACTCGTCAAGTTCCTTCAGTCCTTTCTCTCATTCAGACGCTTTTAATCGAGACTAAAGCCCCAAACTCTAGATCTAGCCTTTTAAGGCTGAGATACCATAAAAAGCTGCAAGCTTTACGTCCATGCATGGCATTTAGAGGCTAACTTTGCCAAAACAAAAGCTCAACAAGGGGTTTAAGACTTGAAGATTGGCCAAAGCTTGATAAAGCTTGAGTCTTTAGGCTTAAAGAGCCTAATATTGTCCAGATCTGAAGTCTTAGCTTCAAAGCATGCTCAAAACCAATAATGACTCGAGAAGAAGCTAGAAATGGTCATAAACTCTCTATTGGATAGATCTAACAAACAAGTGATCAAGGTAATGACTTTTTACCTTCAAATGACTGCTACAACTGAATGGATGCCGGATCCAAAGACTCCTTCTTATTCCAAGCCCTTTACTCTTCAAGTTTCTTCAAGGAATGCACCAAAACACACACTTTAAGACATCCCCATTTTCACGGCCAGAAAAGACCGATTTTTGTTTATGCTTTGTTTGAAAATCAGAGTAACATTTTTAAATAAAAGTGTTGCGGAATTTGTCCCAAAGCAAAATATGATAAAGATTTATCGGAAGCATTTCCAAAGAAATGTATTTCATTAAAAGACTCGGGATGTCATGTTCGATACAGATCAAAAGCATAAACAATACAACATAAGCCTTACTACATTATTTCGTATTTACATGCCTATAATCCTTTATATCTCATCCAAACATCTATGCTCATGCGCCACTACCTGTAATACAAGAAACTAAGTGGGTCAGGCTTGGGAGCCTAGTGAGCACATAGGGTTTTCAACCCACAATAAATAAGTTTTATTAACTTCATCAAACAACAATAACCCGATTACCCGTTCATGTTATCCTCACTTTACGTCCCTAAACACCCATCATAAGGGACCTAGCCTAAGGATCATCATCGGGATGGACACTACTGCTAAGGGGGTTCCTCAACAATAAATGTCCTAAAGGCAACCATGAGGGGGATGGAGTACACCGGTGAACACATCGTTCAAAAACATCTACAGGTTGCGAGCCTGCTAGCGTTCCACTGGATTGTCTAGAAGAGTCTGTGGTCGTCATATATACTCTGTTAGATGACTAGATCACCAACAACAACATCGAGGCCTCTCATCATTTTATCACACATCGTCTTATTACATCTACACATGTTTTCCCCAACATTTTTGTAGATATAAAATACATATACAGTTTAAATCAATAAAAACATGTATAAAAACATTCATCCAGCATAGATAGTAAGTATATAGATAATATGCACACATAGCATGTAATTTATATAAAATACTTCACATCTATGTGTTAGATGAAAGTAACTATGCACTCACTTGAAAGGTGGTGACTCTGCACTTGAACAACGCTTCATTATCTCAAAATAATTTTCCCTTGACAAACCTAGTATCAATACCACTATGGTTTAATCTAACGTTAACCGCTACT